GGGAGAGGGGGAGGGTGAGAGGATGGAGTGGGTGACCAACCAGCTCTATTACCTTGTCTGTTGTTGCTGCTTTCTTTGCACTTGGTGTACCTCTGTAGGAGGTGTACTGCACACGGTTCTTCACTGCACGCAGTTAGGGGATTTGTCAGAATGTAATTGTATACATTACTATAACTGCCTGTAGTGTAGACCTAGTGTAGTTATATTGCTTTCATGTCAGGTGGTGCACCCTTTTCCTTCACTATATCTTGTACAACTTTCTATAGTGAAACCCTCATTCTCCTTCTCAAACTTGCTCGATACTTTCCTTCAACTCGATCTTCTCCTACCTCACTAGCCATGGCTCCTAAGTCACGCTAGTTTCTTGACACTGCATGCTTGCATTGCTAGGTAGAGATCACTATGATGTTTGTGTTGCATATATGCCTCTGCATGTGAACTGGCCTTGTGGCTCTTTGCTTGTGCTCAGTGTGTGTGGTGACTTTGTGATCCACACTCAGCTTGCGTTCTCTTTCTTGACTGGTCTTGTGACTCATTGCTCTACCCCACTTAGCCTATGGGGGTGTGTCAAACATTATATATGTTATTGCTGTGTAGGCTACAGTGGGTTAGCCTTTAGGGGGTATAATACTTTAGGGTTTCATACTTGTACCACCAATCTTCCTAGTTCAACCACTTCTTGTTTCTGAAAAGAAATTTATCCGACCGAGCTCGTCACCGTTCGCCGCACCGATATTGTTCACGCCAAAAAAAAGACGGAGGGTTTCGCATGTGCATCGGAGCAGGTCGATCCCTTTGGATCGATCCTGTGGGTGGGTTACCACCTCGCTTCCGCTGCTACCTTTCCCTTCCCGCCGTGCGCCCCGAGGCGCGCGGCGGTTCATTGCCCGCTGTGCGCCCCGAGGCGCGCGGCGGGCTTCTCCCCTACGTCGCGGCCCCGCCCCGATCGTCGCGGCCCCGCCCCTCGACGCGGCCCCGCTCTACGTCGCGGCCCCGCCCTGGCCCGTCGCCGCCCGTGCGCCTGCCCGGCTCGGCCCCGCCCTACGTCGCGGCCCCGCCCCGCTCGTCGCGGCCCCGCCCCTTGTCGCGGCCCCGCCCTCCAACCAGGCCCGTTTTGGGCCCCTTTCACCACACCGCCTCCCCCCCCCCCCCTGCCATTTCCCGTCGTCCGTCGTGGCGACCTGAGGGGGCCGCTTGCGGGGTGGCGGGTATGGGGGTGGCCGGTGTGCCTTCCTCCCTTTCTCCTCCTCCTCCTTCGTCTCCCACTGCTGCAGCTGTCGCTGAGGGGGGTGGTTGTGTGGGAGACTGGGGTTTAGGGTTTAAGGGGGGTGCGTGGGAGTAGAGCTAGCGGTGTAGCAGTGGGTGTGTATCAGGGGGGTGGGACTGTTTGCGGGAGGTTGAGCGGAGGCTGCCAGCTTGTCGTCCGCAGCACCTGTAGTCCGGGGCGCTGTCCCGGTAGCCCAGTCGTAGCCAGCTGTGCCAGCCGCCCGTGGGTCCGTTGCCCGTCCGCCGCTATTTGAGCCGCGGGGCCTGTTACTCCTGTAGTCCGGGCGCTGTCCGGTAGCCGCTGTGCCAGTCTGCCTCCTGTTGCCCGTGTGTCTGCAGCTTCAGGCGTCGCCTCCTGTCTCCTCTCCCCTCACTCTCCCTCCTCCTCCTCACTTGCCCGTTGTGACTACCACTAGCTTTGCTTATAATTGTGAACTCTAAACTATTTCTTATTGAACTTGTGCTCAGAATGTGTGGTGACATTGTGATCCACCCTGAGCTTGTTTTGCTTTGCCTGCTCTGCTGATTACACCCCACTTTGGCTATGGGGGTGAACAGAATATTATTCTTATGTTCTAGCCTGTAGTGGGGTGCTCTATAGCGAGTACAACCCTTCTAGGGTTTGCTATTTGTATCCCCATTTCTGCTAGTTCAACCCTCTTTCTTTCTTCTCATTTTATCACATCGATTACCGAGCGCTCAACAGGGTAACAGTCAAGTCCTGGTACCCCATTCCCCGCCCTGACAAACTGATCGACCGACTGCGAACAGCACAGTTTTTTTCAAAAATAGATTTACGGGAAGGTTACCATCAGATTAGGGTCCAACCATCGGACTGCGCCAAAACAGCTTTCCGGACTAGATACTGGTCATTCGAGTACACCGTGATGCCTTTCGGGCTGACCAATGCACCAGCGACATTTCAGATGACCATGAACGAGGCGTTTAGGCCACTCTTAGATAAATGCGTGATAGTTTACCTCGACGACATCCTCATCTACAGTCGCGACAAGCAGAAGCACTTAGCAGATCTGGAAGCAGTGTTCAAGATTTTAGACGAACATCGGCTACTGACCAAGGGTTCCAAGTGCGAGTTTTTTCAGGACAGGCTAGAGTTTTTGGGGCACGTTATTTCGGAGGCTGGGGTCGAAATTGACCCGAAGAAGTTAGACACGGTGAAAGCCTGGCACCCCCCGACGAATATCACGGAACTACGGAGCTTTTGGGGGTTCGTCAATTATGTGCGTCGGTTCGTCACTGACATGGCCCGATAAACAGCACCACTGACAGACTTATTACGGAAGGGGGTCGCTTTTACGTGGGGGGGAGAAAGTGCATGCTGCCTTCTCTGCCTTGAAAAATGTTCTCTGTTCACCGCCCGTCCTGCACATCGCCGACCCACACCGCCCATTCGAAGTAGTTACCGACGCAAGCGACATCGCCATCGGAGCCGTACTGCTACAGGACTTCGGCAACGGCCTACAGCCCATCGCATACGAGTCACAAAAACTGCATCCGCCCGAGAAAGATTACCCGATACACGACCGCGAAATGCTTGTGATCGTGCACGCGTTCAAAGTGTGGTGCTGTTACTTGACCGGCACAGACGTGACAGTACGGACAGACCATAAATCACTACAGTACCTCCGCGCACAGTCCCACCTCAACCCACGACAGATTCGCTGGCTCGATTTTCTCGAGTCCAATTTTCACTACACGGTCACCTACAAAAAGGGAGCCTCGAACATCGCCGACGCACTGACCCGCCCCACTGCCCAGATCCATGCAATACTACTAGCCCAAACCAGCCCCCTACTGACAGGCCTATTTACCCACGGGTACCAAACAGACCCATTCTTCAGAGGAGGGAATTCGCAGTAGTTCGCAGCAGCAAGGGGGGTCTATTACGTAAAAGCCGGGACCGACCGCATCTGGGTGCCCGGGTATACACTGCTACGGGAATTACTATTACAGGAGGCACACGACGGAGTAACCTCGGAGCATTTCGGGGTAGAGAAAACACGGCAGCAGCTGCAGTGGTATTATTACTGGCCTGAGTTGTTGACCGACGTACAACTACACGTGGCGTCGTGTCCCACTTGCCAGCTCATGAAATCATCACGGAAGCGGTCGGCAGGACAATTGCAGCCGATACCACCCCCAGAGCGTGCTTGGCAACAGGTGACGATGGACTTCGTCACAGGGTTACCGACCGGGACGAGTGGGAACGACGCGATCCTGGTCGTCGTCGATCGACTGACGAAAATGGCACATTTCGCAGCCTGCAAAAAATCGATCACAGCCAAAGAAACAGCTCGACTCTTTATCTCCACCATCGTTCGACTGCACGGGATACCATCAGCGATCATCAGCGACCGCGACACAAAATTCACCAGCAACTTCTGGCGAAACCTGTGGCAGTAGTTCGGCACGCGACTACAATTCAGCTCTTCGTACCACCCCGAAACCGACGGACAGACAGAACGGACAAATGAGACTATGGAGCAACTCATCCGAGCCACGTGCGACGACCCAACCACCTGGGAACAACAACTGCCACTCATTGAGTTCGCATACAACAACTCACCATCGGCCACGAGCCAGCAGTCACCGTTTTACCTGAACTATGGACAAGACCCAACGGTACCTATGACCCCGAATGTGAGAGTACGACGGCTTATGCCAGCTATGCTTGCTTGCCTTTACTTTATCATGCTATTTCTAGCATAGGATAATTATATGCATGCATGAATTGCTTGATTTCCTAGGCTAGGTGCTTTCCTATATTTTATTATAGTTATGGCACCGAGCTAGGTTGCGTACACCGAATTCTGGCTTTTCGATTGCCACCGAATTGCCTTCTACCGAATTCGGAAAGGATCTGTTCGGGACGCTTCGCGACCCGCGGAACCTTCGCGTAACACCTAGTTACGGGGCCTTGTGTCGAGCCTATATATAGCCTCGTGTTGTACCCAGGTGATCATTCAATTCAATTCAATTCAATTACAATTCTCTTTTCTGAGCTCGATCCTAGATCCTCACACCGAATCCCGACAACCCGGTACCTCGCGCACAGCGATTCGCCGAAATTTTGCAAGCAGCACGGACCAGAGCAGCCGGCGCAATTAAAAAGGCCAACGTCATCGCTAAATGGAACCCCGATCGCCTCCGCCGACCTGTCACTTACCAGCCTGACGACCTAGTTTTACTCGACACTCGGAACCTTCGCCTGCCCATCACCCCAAAGCTCCGCCCCCGATATTGCGGGCCATTTCGCATAAGCCACATGATTACGCCCGTCACCGCCCACCTCCTCCTCCCGGCGGACTGGTACGTCAGCCCCTCATTCCACGTCAGCCTGCTTTGCCCTTACGTCCCATCCACCAGCCGACTGCCTCGCAACCGCCCATCCAGCATGACACGACCGCCGACTGAGCCTATCATCACGCCCGAGAAAATTCTGAGCCACCGAGTCCGTGACCCTCGAGGAGCCCGAAGGATCGAGTTCCTGATCCGCTAGAAAGACCGTACACCCACCGAAGACAACTGGGTTTATCTGGACATAGTCGGAAACCACCCCGTCCTCACAGAGTATCTGCGCAGCCGAAACTTCAGGGATGTACACGCGCTTTCTTAAGGGGAGCAGAGGGGGAGGGAGTGGGGAGAGAGTGACGCTCATCACTAATGCCAGGGGATCCAGTCATCGAAGAACTTCTGCATGCGCGTGCGTGTTGCTATGCACCGTGTAGAGAAGGGAAGGGGATGGGGGGAAGCAGGGAAGGGGATGGGGGGAAGCAAGGAAGGGGATGGGGGGAAGCAGGGAGCGGGATGGGGGGAAGCAGGGAGCAGGATGGGGGGAAGTAGGGCAGAGGGAGGGGGGAAGCAGGGCAGAGGGAGGGGGGAAGCAGGGCAAAGGGAGGGGGGAAGCAGGGCAAAGGGAGTGGGGAAGCCTGCCGGAGGGAGGGGTGAAGAAGGGCGAAGGGAGGGGGGAAGCTTGGCGGAGGGAGGGGGGAAGCAGGGCATAGGGAGGGGGGAAGCAGGGCATAGGGAGGGGGAAGCATGGCAAACAGAGGGGGGAAGCAGGGCAGAGGGAGGGGGGAAGCAGGGCGCAGGCCAAGGATAAGGGATTGCGGGGTAAACAGAGCTGGTATATGAGAAATGGAGGTCGGTCAAATAAAAAGGGGTGTAAACACTCCGGGAAAATTGAGGTCGATGGGGAGAGGGAGTGAGGGAAGAACCCGCTCTCACCCATCGTCTCCCACTCTCGGCCCTCACCCCTCTATTCCTCCCCCTCCATCCTCCCCCTTCTATCTTTCCCCCTCGGCCCTTCACGAGGGGAAGCGCGCCAGACCAGGGAGGATAGCGCGTATCGAGGGGAAACGCGCGTGACGAGGGGAGGAGAGCGCGCAACGAAGAGAAGCGCGCGTGACGGGAAGGCGCGGGCGCGAGTGGCGGAAATGTGCGCGACGAAGCGATACGCGCGAGACGAGGGGAAACGCGCGAGACGAGGGGGAAACGCGAGTGACGAGGGGAAACGCGCGTGACGAGGGGTAACGCGCGTGCCGAAGGGAAACGCGCGTGACGAAGTGAAACGCACGTGACGAAGGGAAACACGGGTGACGAATGGAAACACATGACGAGGGGAGGCATTCTATCCCGGGCAGGCGCTAGTGACGAGGGCGGGCGCTAGTGACGAGGAGGAGCGCGACTGGCGAGGGGGAGCACGGGTGACGACTCGAGTTAGACGTGGGGTAGAATGGTGTCGCACTCGCTTGGCTCATACGTTCCGTGTGAGTGTGGCGACAACGTTTGTAAAAATCTACAGCGATTCTAGGTTTGTGCTGGCTATTGATAAGACAGCATGAGTGACGAGAGTTGCCGTAAAAATCGCGGTCACGTGGTACTAGCTGATGACGCACTCGCTTTCTACTTACATGAGAGCCTAGGCCGGTCATGAGTACTACTAGGCGATCAAGATATGTGTGAGCCAAACAGCGGGCCAACTTGAGCGACGCTCTGTTCTGTTTTGCGATCGTGGACATCAGCCAATCAGGAGAGAGTATCGCTAGGCGTTGTCCCAGAGTAGCGAGAGTTCTGAGCAAAAAAGTAGGGTAACCCTGTTTTTGACGATTTCAAATTCAATAATCTTGAACTTGAAAATAACCATGCTGTACTTGGACTTTAAGGGGGGAGGGGGGGTTGTGTAAGGAAAATTCCTTTTCCTTACTTAGCGTCACCGCTCGGCGCGTACACCACTGTAGCACCACAGTCGGCACCGTTACCACTCGCATCCCTCGCATCGACAATCCTCCCGCCACCTTCGCACATCGCACCCCGACCTCACGGCTCGGCGGGTAACCCGCGCTCCGGGCCTCCGCTTCGACATTTCCCCAAACCTCAGTCCCAGGCCCGTCGCACGACAACCACAGTCCATTACTGTTACCACTGTAGTTTCGCTATATATTCTTCGCTCATGCCTTCGCTCATGCCTTCGCTCGTTGCACTCTTGCTTCGATAGTGCAATTCTAGCTAGATCACTCAATTGCACTCGTAACAGTCTACTATATGTGAGCTGCTTCAATTGCCCTCGTTACACGAGAGGGATGGCGAGTGACCTTCGAAAGATTTATCCTTCAGTGTTCGATACAATGCGGCAAAGCGACATGTTTTCCATATGACAGACAGCGCAAGATACTGTTCAACGTTGGTGGTTCGCTGGGCAGCAAAATCAAAGATCGCAGAGTGGGGAGGGCAGGGGACCCGCAACGCAACATCAATGCCCGTTGAGGAAATGACAACGTGACCCAGACCAGACAAACGAGGTGATTCACTGTGGCCAAGCCTCGACATTCCCCAAACCTTCCCGCCACTAGATTTACGCATCAGCACGAGTGAGGCTCGGTGGAGAAGTGAAGCGGCGTGGAAAGATTGGGTGCGCAGTCCCGCACCTCATCCTAACCAGCCTGCTGTGGCACTTAAGAAATTACTTGATTTTTAACGGAGCTGCCCGATTTCCCATCAAATATCTGATGGTATGTCGTCGAGCACTCCCTGCATAATGAACAAGATAAATAAATAAGATAATAAGATTACAATCTGGCTCCAGTTCGGTACTGAAGTGTAGTAAAGTGGGTGAGCGCTTCTATCTTCACACGTATCCAGCACTTACCTTGGCTTCTGGTTCGGTTAAGTTGCTGCCGTACCTACGCCAGCACAGCGAGATCAGCAAAGACCTCGACCTGTTCACGGTTCGCTTCGGTGGTTGATCTGGCAGGGGTTGGTTTGGTGGGCCTTGTCAGGTATTTGAAGGAGGGTCTCTCACCCCTTCGCCTTCATCATCTTGAAACCCTCGTCTGCCTTCAATCTTCCTTCTGTTTGTTCTAACCTAACGGACCTTGCATTAGGTTGACTCTCTGCTTAGATTGATAACGTTATCCACAAAGCACACCAAACCATCACCATGCCTGTTGATGTTGCCGAGATGTCTTGTCCTAAGCTTCTCAGACCAGAGGCCTGTACTGCTCATGTCGTCAGGCCCCAGGCTGTAAAATATGGAGGTGCTTTCTCTCCGCCGTCAGACCTGGCGAAGCACAGTGCTTGTATTCGGTAAGTAATCCTGGGATTTCTTATTTCAGTTTAAGTATTTGTCGTCGACTTCCACTTGTCATATGTCGGATGGGATCCGTCACCGTTTAATAATCGTGTTATCTTGTTTTTCAGGTCATGCAGTAGAGGGGATGACGATATTGGCTCTGAGCTTCTCGACATTTTCCTATCAAAGGTACGTCTACTTCAATATCTTTCTGCCGTGTTTGATTCCAGTAGTTCATATGTATACATATATTCAAAAGTTTCATCTCACGATACTATTTTAATTGTGCGCAGAGCGATGGCGGTGGAAGCTTGAGCTCCTTGGCGTTCACTCCACCTTGTAGATCTAGTAATCCACTTATCAAAGATATCAACTTCCTACAGTCGAACTCGCCATCGGCGAACATTTTCCCAGTTTCCTGTCGGGTTTCCGCAGCCGTCGCACCTGTCCGCAGGGTCGAGGGATTTTTCTCGCCGCGCGTTTTTGACAGCGGTTGCCCCAGCGCATCTGGTATACTATAGGTTCCTGGGACGCTTGGAGAGGAGGAGGTTGGGTGCAGAGTGCAATCATGTTGTCGTGGGAGCTCCTGCAGCCGTCAGCTTCAATCCTTTGAGCGTCTGGAGGGTTGTACATGCCATTTTTGCCCAAGGAAAGACGTTATCGTCTTCGTTTTTGAGGCGCGAGTAGCTGTATATAGAATTACAGCCCTTAAAGCTTGTATGGGTAATAAATTATAATGTTTTGATTTATGTTTTATCTTGCAATAATCAACCTATGATATGATGTTGCACCATTAGTGTGCAATTGATATGGTAAATATTTCACTTCTGTGCAACAAGCGTATAATTGCAGGTGGGGCGATAGTTGTAATTTGCGAACGAAAAATTGTTAACATAATTCAATTGTGCTGTGCAACAAATGTGCACTCCTAAGTGAGGTGATAGTCGTAATATGAACGAAAACTTCGAAAATACACACTTCCCTCAACGGCAACAATTACGAGTTCTGAATATGGCAAGCAAGAAATTCATCGACAAATGTTGAAAATCAATGGTAATATATAATCCATTACATATCAATGATGCTTATGCCCACCAGGGGGCGTCGCCTGTCCTGAAGTCGGTCTCAGGCCACTGGCTGAAAAAGACCTTGCCGTCCACAACGTCGACGTGTGCAAGAGCAAGGGACTGAAACAAAAAACCCAGAAGAGTCACAACAATTATCCAACAGAAAATGCATCGACAGGTACAACACGACAGGCAGTACTCACCAGGGGAGCAGGGCCGCGAACAACCTTGCCCTGGTTGTCATACTGAGAACCGTGGCACGGGCACATGAACTTGTTCTCAGCAGGGTTCCAGGGCACGACACAACCGAGATGAGTGCACACAGCGTTCACACCATAGGGAGCGAGCTGGCCGTCGTTCTCAACCACAAGGTATGTCGGGTCACCCTAGAACACATCGCGAACAGATTATCAGATGACGTGACAACTAAAAAAGGGAAATCAACCGTGATCTACCATACAGTAAGCCGCACCTTAAGACCCTCGGCAAGGGTCCTGTCACCAGGGCCGTGGGCCTTCAACCAGCCCTCGGCAGTGATCTCCTGGCCAAAAGCATCACGAGCCACAAGACCACCACCCGCGCCACCGGAGCTGTCGCGTGAAGAGGAGCATATGTCAGATACCACAAACAGACGACTAAAGAGCACTAGCAGCGCGAGAAAATATATTACCCGGGGGGGACGAGCACGTAGAGCCAGCCACCGAGAACGGCAGTGCCAGGAACCGCGACGGCACCAGCGAGGATAAGGTTCATGAGGTTGCGGCGACCCATGTCAGGCACAAAAGAGGGGGCACCAGCCATGGCAACGGTGGCGGACGCCTTCCTGTTGACGGCGACCGCCCGGACAGTCTTCAACGACTTAGCATCGCCGAAGACGGAGGCCTTCGCGGCTGCGAGCTGCAAACGGACGAAATGTGGAATCTGTTAGAACTACAACAATTCCTGCATAACTTGCTACGAATGCCAAGCGACCCTTACAAAGCGACAATGCTCTACCGAGGCTAGAATGGATACCTGGGGAACGGCAGCAGCCTTGGTGGCGAGCGAGGCAGCCATGGTTAATGGGTGTGTTTTGGCTGTTGGAGTGATGGAGGCCTACCAAAAGCTGCTGGAAGACAAAGTGCCTGAAACCCCACCTTGGAGAAGACACCCTCACACGGAAGCTAGCTCAGGCGTAAATCTCTGGGGTTCCCGTTGAGAGGATACGGGTCAGGGAGGGCTGCACCAATCATTTACGAACGGACGGTTGTCAACGATGTGGCATTACGATCTGACGGCGGAAATTGCGCGAGAAATTGTTGTGGAGGGTGATGCGGCTCTTATCTGTTGACGTGGCGTAAGCCACCAGGGGAAAGTACGTCTGCGCGCCACCTGTTTAGTTCGTGAGTGATCGTAGCCCCGAACCTCGGGACTTGTGCAGGTTACAGGTTGAAATCCTCCGTGCGAGCGCTTTCGCACGAAGTCTTCGCTTGGACCTCATGTGGTCAGGCAACTTTGAAATGCATCCTAAACAAAACCTTCTACAATTGAGCTACACCTTCACTCCGCATTCGAAGAAATGAATACATTCAAGAATAAATCACCTTCAAGAAT